AGAAAAAAAAAAGGAAAATAGCACACGATCGTAATTAAAATAATTTGACTTTTTTTTTTTTTCTTTTTCTTCCTTTCTCGTAGAATGGTACAAGAAGGCTCGCGCCATAGCGATCGTCCACGAATGGGTAGTCGAGTGTATCAGTCAGTATAAACTGATATCGCTCTATCCATATCTGCAAGAATTGTCACGACAGGACGTTCTCGCGCTCGGTTATCCGGAATATCTGGTCGAGGAAGAGACTGGTTGGGAGTCTGATAGCACATACGACGTGTGAACGTCACGTTCAACGCGGCTCCGTCACTTCTGCAGTAATTTCACGCTGGACGTGAAACCCGGTTTCCACGAATTTAACCACCGGTTATCGTTCGAATTAGGTTACTGTACATATATAATTTACTTGAAAAAATTTGTACAGATTTCTTTCTTTCTTTTTTTTTTTTTTTTTTTTTTTTTGTTTCTTTAATCCCATTGCAATTCGGGGGAGGCTCGTTCGTAACAAAGGTTCGTTCGTTTGTTTCTTTGCGACAGGGCTGCTCGTTGCAGCGTGATTCGAGCTAGGCAAAACGTGGACGCGAAATGTTTGTATGGATTTTTGGTGGAGGTGATAAGGATTCACGATTAGTATTGATTTGTGAATTTTTTTTTTTCTCGAGTAAATTTATAGGTAATATTTAATTAAATAGAGTAAATTTAGGATAAGTTTAATGTAGGCTAACATTTAATTTTGATACGTGACAGCGTCATTAATTCTGATTTAATTTTTTAATTCATTGCACCCATCCCAAAATGTTTCATTTTTCAAAATCGTCAGAAGCTTATTTAATTTCCTATTTATTTGAAGAGTTAATTTCATCTTATTTTTGTCTTGGATTCATCTTGGAACCCTAATGTTTCCATAGTGTATAATTAAAAATTCTGCTTCGTAACTAATACTGAAATATTTCGTCGCTTTAAAACAGCAATAAGTTCACGCTTCATTCAGAACAATGCAAAAATATCTCGTAAATGCGAGTAGTTGTAGATATATTTTTCTGTTCTATTTTTATACATATAGAAAGAAGTCATTAAAGTATCCTCGACTAAGAGCAAGGACTAGATTTAAAGGAAGTTATAAGTTCATGTTTTATCCATAATACGCAATAGCAAAGATGTATCTGATAAATCACACGAATATCTGTAAATATCTTTTTCTTTCTATAAACAACACGCATAAACATCTCACAAGTTACATAAATATAGTCGTTCGCAGAAGTTTACGTACATTTGTCAAGTTTTAAATGTTTGAAGAAAGATGAAGAAAGCTTTTGGACATTTCATGGATCTGAGTTAACTTACCCAACCAAAATTGGATCATTTCGAAAATATTGCTTGAATGAACAAAATCTAGCCACGATTACCATATGTACAGTGAAGCGAATAAAACTTGTTCTGATTGTGATTTTGATTGTGACAGTAGATACCGTGATTGTATTGGAATAAGTACCTAATTCAATTATGTTGTAATAAATGCAAGAAGTCCTGTTGTTCCTTCAAAATCTGTATAACTTTAATTGTAACACGAATTAGTGCGTACGAAATGTTTCCAAATCTTTGTCGCTCTCCAAACTATTTAATAAAGCTCCTAATGAACATTTATACATGAACATACAAATTTACATTTATCACAGATCAAGTATTTCAAATAGGTAGACTTCCGTGACTGGCTACATCTCTCCTTTCCACTCTCAGAGTAGAATCATCACAGATTTAAATATTGAAAATCCCATCAATGAGGGAACAACGTCCAACATCCAACGAAAACTTCAGCGAAAATGTCGCACAAATTGTACATAAGTATAGTTTGTCGCAACGCCTAGCTCTGTCCCTGGCGATGGGCATTGAAATTCCCTAATTACGCGAAAATTCAGTAAGATATAGATCCAGTGGATGGAACTCGGGGATGCGTAGAGCGTGCAACATCATGATCACCGGGTGGGTTTAGGGGTTGCGCGTTGCAAGGGTGTATCCAAGCTACTCACGTGTATTCACAGACACAGGCGAACAATATTGATCTGCCTGGGACCACCTGTAGCCAACGTTGGTCCAACCTTCCTCACACATATACGCTCACAGGCGTATACATTTGCACGCACAGACGGTATCACGGGTTATGAATCTCGTCCAATTGCCAGCAACCGAGGAGA